GGGCGGACACGGGGCTCACGGGTTCTGGGGGCTCCACTCCTCGGGGCCCCAGGAGAGGCAGGACCCACGGCAGAAGAGGTGGCCCAGGGAAGCAGCTCACAGGAGGGTCAGGGAGCAGAGACTCTGCTGCAGTCACAAAATATATGCCCCACGCCCGCCCCAACGCCGCCCCCTGCCGCGTCCCACCTGCCTGCAGTTACACCAGCTAATCCCCATCGCGGGACGACTCCCAGGTGGGGGGTGGGCGAGGGCTCTCACAACCCACCCATCCTCTGAACCTTTCTCCATTTCCTCGCACATGAGCTCCTGGGGGACACCTCACTCCCACACCCCGACACTGTCCAACAAGACTCTTGGTAGGAACCAAGGCGGCAACTTCAAACCACAAGTGGCCCCAATCCCTGCCCCGCCCTGGAACCCAGGGGACGAAGCTCGTGCAGGGCAGGGGCACGTGTCAGGCACTGCTGATCACCCACACCTGACGTGGGAGACGCCCCTTAAATGTGCTTCCCTCTGGCCGGACGCCAGGCTGCTGCCCCAGCGGCTGCAGCAGAATGCCCAGCGCCGGGTCGGGCTTGGAGGGGAACGGGGAGTGCCCGTGGTTCTGGAGACGGGTCCAAGCCCAGGTGGCGGCAGACCCGGTGCTGGAGAGGCCTGCTCTCTGCTTTGCAGACGGCACCTCCTTGCTGGGTGCTCCCAGGGCGGGCAGCTGGGGCCAAACAGCTCCAGGGCCTCTCTCAAGAGGCCAAGAGGCCCATTGCAGAGGCTGCAGCCCTGTGGCCTAGCCCCCACCCTTTCATGCTGCTGCACTGGGGACAGGTTCCAACAGGTGCAGTTCCAAGGAGGCAGTGATTCAGGCCACAGGTGAAGAGAGGTCACCTGGGAACCTAGAAAGGACTGCCTTCAGCAGACGTCTCAGGGGCCGGCTCTCGATGGCCACGGATCTCCCTGAGTAATGACAGAGCGGAAGTGGGACTCAGAAGCTGAAAAGAACGAATCAGGGTCCAGAGCAGGTGATCAGAAAGATACAAGGAACCGACAGTCCCCAATGCAGCTTCTCCAGGAGAAAGGCAAAGTGACACCTGTCCCCAAACGCAAACATAAAGGCCACGAGCAGGGTGCCACGACTCTGCCCGGTCTGCTCAGGTCAGAGCCCGGATCCCACCCCTCGCAGGAGGAGGAAGGGAGGGGCGGTAAGGAAGCCTCCTCCCACCGGAGCGCGGCAAGACGCTGCTCACCACCAGCTGGACACGGGGCCCATCGACCTGCAGAACCTGCAACTGAAACCGCGACCGTGTCCGTCACTCAGACAGGGCAGCTGGGCTGGACACTCCATGACACAGTGACAGACTGGGCTGCCCGGTCCAGGTCTGCGAGGAGACAGGACACCCGGGGCTGAGGCCTCAGGTGCTCACGGGCCTCCTCCACGCAGCAGGCCCCGCCTCCAAGGCCCTCCGTCCTCAAGAGGCACAGAGCTGTCCTCAAGAGGCACAGAGCTCTCCCGAAACCAGACCCTGGCTCACCCAGGACACCCTGATGCGGAGGCCCCTGGGAGGCAGCTGGCCTCGGTCCCAGGCCTCAGTGTGGCCCCACGTTTCACCTCCAAGGTCAAGTAGACCCAGGGCCACTGAGCTCTCAGGAAACCGGGGCAAACCCCGAGTTCAAGCCAAGCACACGGTCGCCCCGATTCCAAAGCCACCCCCAGCACGGCGCGGGGGCTGCAGGCCCAGGAGGTCACTGCTTCCCTCCGGCCAGCAGCTCGGCAGGTTTCCAGTTCAGACGAGAACCACACACCAAGGCCTGCGCGCCCCGAGAGATGGGCCCAAGGCGTAGACACCCCAGGGACTGGATGACGGCAGGACATGAGGGACAGGGCCCTCTGACAGCCAGAGCTCCTGACCTCCCCTCTCAAGCCTCAGAGCGATCCGGGTTCAAGGAAAACGGGGGCACATTCTTCCAAAAAGTAACCCAGGGCACGTGCACGTGCTACGGTTGCATAAGGGGACTCTGTTTTTGTCTTCAGGTCTGGGGACGTCTGTCTGGGGACGTCTGTCTGGGGGTTGGGCAGGAGTCTGGGCCAAGTTAACAGGACGCGGGCCCCTAAGCCCGCTAACTCCTGTCGTGGGTGCTGGACCCGCTGCCCTCGCTCAGCACACCACTGACTGCCTGGGCACACGGCTCCCGGAGCACTCCAGGGACCCTGCCTCCAGGACCGGAGGGTGTCACCGGGACCCATCAGAGGCGGGGCCATTCCCTAGAAAGACGAAGCTGTGGGAGGGCGAGGGGTAGAGGACAGGCCTCGTCCCAGCACTCGACGGCCAACCACAAATCCTCCTGCCACCCATCAAGCCCTGCCTCTGGTACATCTGCGGGTGTGAACACCAGAACCAGAACACAAAGATTTTTACTTCCTCTCTCGGATTCATCATCTTGGTGCTTTCTGGAGCGACACACACACACACACACACACACACACACACACACACACACACACACAGTGTGATGCCGGGATGAGAGTCAGCACCTTGTACCGGGCCCATGTTCTACCACTGAGCTACACCCAGGCCTTTCTGCCCATTCTTCAAGAATTCAAAAACACGCTCATTTCCTTGACGACTCTAGGAGGTTTACATAACTACTGCGGGAGACTCCTAAAGACACCTTTCACATTGTGTTCACCAGAATGGCTCTTTCTGTGCCTTTTTAACATCCACCTCCGCCTGGCCTTCCCACCTCGGCCTTCACCCAGAGGGGCTGCTGCCCCATATCTGAGTCTGTGCTCTCCAGCCAGTAAGTGGCCAGTGAGCCCTCGAAGTGAGGCTAGCTCCCCAGCAGCTCAGGAGGCTGAGGCAGGAGGATCGTGAGGTCAAAGCCAGCCTCAGCAAAAGCGAAGCGCTAAGCAACTCAGGGAGACCCTGTCTCTAAATAAAATACAAAGTAGGGCTGGGGACGGGGCTCAGGGGTCGAGCAATCCTGAAGTCAATCTGCAGTACCCTCCCCCCAAAAAGAAAAACACATCACTCTGAGATGCGTTGAGTGTAAAATACACAAATTCTAAGGACTCAGTATTAAAAACACGTGTAACAAAACTCCAAGTTTCTTATACTACGTGTGAACAATATTTTGGGGAACATTGAGTTAGACAAACACATCGTCCAAATCAGAGTTGCCTATATCCTTCTGCCTGTTTGAAGCTGCTCAGAAAACACGGTGGCTTCACTGTATTCCTGAGACCCAGCCGCTCCGCAAAGCAAGATCCCTCCACCTCTGAACAAAGCGGGATCTTTGTCCCTACCCGTGTGCTGAGGGGCCCAGACACTTGGCCTCTTCCCTCAAAATCCTGTCCCTCTTCTGTTTCTCGGATGGCACTGGCTATTATGTGAGTCACAGCCGATTCATGGCTACCTGTGTCAACAACCACCAAAAAAAACCCCACAAAAGGTCCAGAAGTGCGCTTTCTGTTAAAAGGACAATCGACAGCACCATAACACTCACTGTAAAGGGCCGGGCGTCCTTGAGAATCTCGCTGAGGTCCTGCTGACTTCCTCATTCTTGCATTACACGAGTTCCCCTTGAAACTGTTTTGGACTTCACTTCCCTGTGAACCGCAGTATTGGGGCTAAGCGGGACAAAGCCAGCCTCCTGGGGAGGTGCATTCAAAACTCCAAAGACAAACAGATGCTCAGGAGAAAGGAACCCTTAGAAATCGCCATACATTGTTATGCAAACAAGATATACCGCAGTCAGAATTAGAGGAGGTATAGAGGAGGTACGATTTGGTCCCTGGGAAAGCAAAGAAAAGGAGACTTGGGGAAGATAAGAGGGCAGAAAATGGGGGAGGGTCACAGGGTTAGGTCTCTCTTTCCAAACAACAGGAATGCAACTCTCTGATCAGAAGAGAGAACTGCTTAATGGTGCTGATCGGCCTCCGAGAACCCATCCAGCTCAGCTGTCAAGAGACCCTGGTCCATAACTCCAAAACCACCCGCCACGAGCAATGCCACCCAAGTCGCATCCTTATGGCTCTAGGTGAATCTAGGATCAAAACCAGGCATCAAGCTAATCTGACAAGTTAACTTTAATGAGAGATCTCGGTTTGCATTAAAATTCACGAGCCTCTTAGAACAGGTCATCTGGACCCTTCACTAGGGGCATAAGGAGTGTATCTGACAATTAAACTTCTTGACCACTTGAGGAAGAAAATTCACATCTAGGAACTCTACTTGGGAATCCCAAACGCTTTCTGGAATAGAGTCATTTCAAATCGAGCACCTACAAGACACTGCTTGTTCCAATTAGGGACCTCCGTGGGGATTTCTTCAACCCTTTTGAAATTCAGCAGTTTACATCTGTGTCCATAAAATGAACAGACTCGTTGGTGTGTCTTTAAAAAAAAATCAGTCTCATTACCACTGAATACTCAGCAGCACGAAGAGAGACCAAGGTCACCTTCAAACATGAAGATGAGCTAATTATCACACATATTTAGAAGCGAATCAATTCAGAATCTTTCTCTGCTAACTTCTGTGCTGGCTGGGAGACCTTGGGCAAGTACTTTTAGGTGTCTTATGATTCGGTAATTGAACGTTCCCTATTGGTCCCCAATTGCACCAATGTGGGGCTTTTGGAAGTGAGGGGATCCTGAGGCTCTGGTTTGTAATTTAATGGCACTTTTGGGAGGTGGAGGAAACTGTAGGGGGTGGGACGTGGTCGAAGGGTGTGGATCCTCCAGGGTGTGCCCTTGGGGACTATATCTTTCTCCCCATCACTTCCTCGGTCTGCTTTCCAGTGGCCACAAGGTGAGCAGGTCGACAGGCCTCGGGGCGGGGGAAACAGCCCACCACCGACTGAAACCGTGAGCCCGAACACATCTCTCTCCTCCTGGAAGGTTGTTTTTCTCAGTTGCTTTATCACAGGGACAGAGAGCTGACTTCACAGCTCTCTGAGCCTCGGACTTTGTTTTTGTTTTTAATTAGTCAAATGCAAATACTTCCTCCTACCTAGCCGTGTTCTGAGATCAGCCATCAGCTATGCACCCGGAGAGGAGAGGTCAGCGGTGGAAGGGCCGTGTGTGGGATGTTGAGTCATCTGCAGGCCTGGTGTGGATGTGTGAGCGTGGGACACTGAGCGTGCCTCACTGTGTTGGTTCTGCTGAGGTTGGGGGTCGAGTTCCTGTCTGCGGTTATCTACCGGGTGTTGTCTTTGAACTGTCCCTGGCCTCCTCCAGGCTAGCGAACTGTCCACCACGGCCTGCACTGACCAGGGCACACCATCCAGGATCTGCTGGGCCTCAGATCCGCAGAGTGGCTCTGCTCACACTTGCAGGCGCCTGGGTTCCAATGGCTGGGGCAGGTGTGGGCCGGGGCAGCAGCCTCTGCACTTCCCGGGGAATGCCCTCGCTGCTGGCTGGCGACGCTGGGCAGCCAGGCCACTTGGCAGGGCTTCCCCACCTCTGCACCAAACCGGGGACACCTGGGGATGGCAAAGTCCTTGTCAGGGCTTGCTTCGGAGCTGTCTTGTGCAACGGGCTGGAGTCCACTGGGTGCAGGTAACCCCACCTCCCGGCTCCAGCTGGGACATTCAAAAATGCCTCCGAGGGTGACCAGGTCCCCAGGGGGACGAGGCCACCGCGGTGAGAAGCCACCCCTCGTGGGGTGCGACGATCAAGGTGCGCTCACCTCGGCCGGCGGCCCCGGGGGCAGGGACCCTCCGCGCCCCTTTTGCAG